AAATACAATGGAACACGGAACATTATAGTGACGAAAGCAGGTGTAAATTTAGGATTTTATATAAGACATGTTTCGAATGGCAAGTTTAACTTGATAGTTTCTAAAACAAGAATTATGACACTAAGTTAAGTCATAGTGGAGCTATTATATAAATGATCAGCTACAGTATTAGCATTAACTGTTATCCTCTACAGTGATATAAATGTCACAATGTACAACTTTCTCTGGGATTATGATAGCTATGTAACATGCTATAAAAATGTGCATCTTTCTATGATTTCTGTGGCTCATAAATTACTTTATTGTATTCCAAAACCTTTGTTTTGAAATACATAGTCACAATGTATTGCTTGGAGTCATGTGTGCCATCCTTAAGTTATTTTCAAGTGCTTTAGCCTCATTCACATTTGGTCAGTTCATCTTATATAGAGGCCAACTTTGGCCTGTTTTCAGCTAATGGATGCCAAGAAGTGCTGTGTCAATCTGCACTGGCAACAGTCCTGCATCCCAGGCAGTGTTTGGCTCCGCTTCCAGTTTGTCCTCATCTTTTATTCAAACTTTACTAAACCAATAAGTCTCATTAATCTCTGCAGCGAGGTGAACTACTCACCCACACTTTTACAAAAAGGTTAGCTAAGGAAATCGGGGTCCTGCATGGATGTTCACATCATTTCTTAAACTCACACCTGGGATGAATGTAAGTAGGTGAGACAATCTATGGTGACATTACACAATTGCTGTTTTATTTTCTAGGTCCTGTCACATACAAAGCACTTCCAAAAGAATAATGTATATATGACCCCACAACAATGGATCAATTTAACACAAGCCAGGGCCCTGATAATTCAAATTCGGCCATAAAGTATTTGCTCTTGTACTTTGAGTCAGGCCTATGCCAGGAGACCTGCTGCTACACCCTGTCGGACAAAATGGATGATTAAATTATCTAGTCTATTGTGTTAAACTGTGTTTAGCTGTCTGGCAGACCTTACATACGCATCCACAGGGTGAAGAATAACACACTTTGAAGTCTGATTAAATCTATGAAGAACTGTTGAAGTGTTTTTTTTTTTTTTTTTTTAGGAAAAAAGATCTAGGTTTAGTTAGAAGTAACAATTCTGAAACTTAATATGAAAACCTATAAAGATTCAAAATCGAATCTGATATTTTTTCAGAACTTACTAAGAAAATGAAAATGCAATATTAAGGTTTTTAAATAGACAGCAGCGTTCAGATTTGATCCACTTTTCACAAAGTCATCAAGACCAAAAAAAAACAGTAAAAACCTACTCAATCCTAGTAAAGCAATAGAAATATAAATGCTTTCCAAATGTCCAAATGTTTCCCCTATCAGTCAGAATCTAAGTTGTGATCTGAATCCTTCAATCCACAGTGCAACAGATATACCTCCTCTGCATTAGGGCTAGCACTAGCACAACTCTAAACCCAATCATGCCATTCATGCATTTATTGCATTCATGATAAGTGAGCGTATGGAACAAAAGTTGCAGATAATTTTTTATACTCCAGTAAATAATTTGGAAAGAACAGATGTTTCATAAACATCCCATCAGGAAATCTACTGGTATCTAAGAAGGGAAATACATTTCTGATCGGACAAAGAGTGAATTGCTAAGAAACCTAATCATTTACTTTTTTATATTTTCAAACATGAAGAAGACAAAATCTAACGCTTCTTATTCAAATATTATGCAACAAACCAACAGCATAAATTTGAAGTTGAATAAATAATGTTCACAGTTTTTGTCGGCGTTTTGATGCATTTTTTTTTTGGCCTTCAAACTTTGTTAAACGATGTTTGGAGTATGCCTCCATCAGCTTTGCATATCAAGAGCCCTTTTGCCTGTCTTCTAGAAAAGCAGGTTAACTTAAGCTAAATTGATATAGAACACTTTAAAAAAATCTGCAAACTCCAAGTCTTAGCAGAGATTTGTGCATTTTTAACTAGAAAGCTCTAACATGTTTATTTTCTATTACTTAAACAATTATTTTCTGACTCTGGCTGGATGTTTAAGGTTCTTGTTTCTTTGTATTTTCTCTGCATTTCCCATACTCTTTACTATTTTGAACAATGAAATTAACACAGCTCTATGAGGTGAGAGCTAAGATCCTAACCTTTCTGTAAGCTAAACTAAATTCTGTTTAGTTTGGTCTTTATAATGCTGAGAGTTCACTAAATATCTCCAATAAACCTTCAGAGACAGAACAGCTGAATTTATGTTGAGATTAAATTATACAGTATTTTATAATTGAGATTACTTTGAAATGATGCAAAGGGTTCAATAAAAAGACCCACAACATTTATCTGCCTGTTATTTGTAACACTACTTTATTTTTGTACACAATATGCAGTATTTTGTGTAAGTCTGTCAATTACAAGCATAGGTTTTTGTTACAGCTATTCATTTCATACATGTTTCAAGGTTGTAACTTATGGTAGTATTCCCTGTCTCTTACAGTATGTTTATACAAATATAAGCCAGGATTTTCAATTACTTTAATTTAACTTTTTTTGGGAGTGAATCTGAGGTATTGGCTGCAAAAAAAAAGGTAGAATTCAGGAAATCATCAAGATTCTTCTATAAATCCTTTTAGAATATGGGCATCTGTCGTATAAGGTTCTTTTTCTTCCATTGATACACTTTAAATAAAGGGTATATGGTAGCTGCATCTCATTTTAAGCCATCATCATTTAGACATATGAGGAGGTGAAAAAAAATCTCTTCACCGCTGCGGTCCTGGACGATTCGTGCTGATTGTAGAGCAACAAAACCTCTTTCAAAGCACTCGGCAGAACAGAGGACAGAGTGGGCAGATGAGGATGAGGAAAAGAACAATACAGAAGGAAAAAAAGTGCTGATCTCTCTCTCCCTCCCTCTCATTCAGTATGCTGACTGTTTCTGTACAGAAAACTGACTCCCACGCTTTTCTGCCTGGCCTATTTATCACACTGATCAGGTTATGAGGAACGCGGATGTACACAGGAGGCTCAGTCGAGATGTGCCTATGTAAATGTTTGTGAATATTCTCCAACCTTACAATTTGGAGCACAGACTAGCCTTAAAAAAAAAAAAAAACAAATAAAAGGAAAAAAACACTCACATAAAAACAGCCAAAAGATCAAACTAATTATTCAATGTTCATCTGCTGCCCAGCCGTGCCATTCTTTGGGCTCACAAACGCAATATCAGCTGCCAGTAATGCACTACTTCAAAAGGATCCTACTGTGCAATCAAAAGAGATATGAGATGAGCTATCAAAGTGTCCATATTTTATCATCAACCTTATTCTGCTTTTCCAATGAAGGCAGCACTGCTCAGTGTATCCCTTGTGTGTTCAGGAAGCTACACTTTGTCCTCAATAATCTCTCTACTAACTGTCATCTATACCTACAGGGGTGGAGGGAGAGAAGAAAAAAAATACACACAACCTCCCTGAAAACAGTAATCCAATCAACCCGGAAACATCCTCGAAATAGCAGCCACCATCGCAGGGAATTCACATCTCCTCTGAACTGTGCACAACACACCTCCCTGCATGGACATCCTCTACACAAATGGACTGATGGATGGATGTATAAATGAAGAGATTGATGCCATTTGCATTTCATCAGCACAAAGCAATGATCCTGCTGCTGCTTGCTTGCTTTTGAGATGCAGTGGTGTATCCTCAGAATATCAATGGTAAAACGGGAGGTGTGGGTGGCTGGAGGGAAACGCAAGCTCTGTTCCTAATGTCAGTGTGTTCAAGGAAGCATTAAAATGCATCTACTCAGGGAATATCCTGACAGTCTAATTAGTAGTCAAAATGGAAATACATGCAATAATTCTCCAACGCATTGTTTTGACATAATACCAATGAATTCAGAGGAACTTTTGATCCTGTTTTAGTTTTTTGTTTTTTCTCATGATATTCCCATGATAATTGGCCAAATTATCAAGATTGGAGTTAGAAATCTTTAAAATATAGAATATTGAATTATATTTATTTTCAAACTAGTATCAGGGACAGTTTTAAAGCCATATAGCTAAAAATTTAATTATTGATACAGAATGTATATTTCTAACTCTATATTTTGAACCTTATAATACAAAATGTATTATTTTGACATATCTGTTTCAAAGAAATCTACTTCTTTAAGTTTCAAAGAAAAACATTTTGTCTACAAAATATATTCCTTAGACATCTACCTCTATAAAGCCTGTAATGCTAGAAATAGAACTTTTGATGCATGTATGTAAAGGAACTCTATTTCCTTCCTTTAATCGCATAACACTATTTTCATTAGTTTTGTTTTCGTTTTGTTTTTTTCTAAAAAAAAACAAATGTCTGTGGCCTTATAAATACCATTAAATATGTTTTTTGTCTTCATAATGCCTAGCACATCCTTTTACTATCCTGTCCACTTACTGGATTACTGGACTACTGTTTAAGTCCAGTAAGCTAATGTAATATTAATAGCTTAATTTCCCATACTCATTTTTAGTTGATACTCTCCTCAAAAACCTTTTGCATTGGATACTGTTGAGATCTAAGTCCTGCAGGATGTTTGTGATGTAGGCTACAAAAACCTTTTTTGTAGTTACAGGAGTACAAATGTGACACTAATAGGCTAAAATGTTTATATATATATATATATATATATATATATATATATATATATATATATATATAT